CGTAGGTATTACTTTTTATTTATTTACTTTTTTTTGTTGATATTAAATTTAGTCCTTTTAGGGATACTATTTAAAGAACGAAAAAGATAGTAACATTATTCCACACGGACAAAAATACCTTGTAAACAATTATTACCGAGGTCTTCTATTTTGTGTGAAAAACTGCCGTAAATTTAGAACAGAAATGTGGTAAATTTATATTTTATTATGTATCAAGAAAAAGATAATGAAATAAATAAGTTTCCAAACAACAAAGAACAATTTTTAATTTTACAGTTATAAGAAACTATCAGAAATATAATATTTAAGTTTGAGGTTACATTCAATAACATCTTAGAAACAAAGTTGAAACTGCGATTTTCTTGTTTTTATTTTACGCCCAAAATAAAATAGCACATAGGTATTAGTTCTTCGTATACATTGGCTCATTTTGAGTTGAATGTCTACCTTTATTTTTACTTTTTTTTTACCCGCCTCTGTGACTGACCATAACTTAATCCTTTTTGCAAATACGTTTAAAGCTTTTGACCTACATACACCCAGACATCTGCCAGCCATAAAAAGGGTTTGTGTGATTTCTGCAAGGATTCGCTTCCCGCATTATTTACGAAATTCGAACGGGACATTTCGAGAATTTGCAACAAGCATGGCGCATTAGCTCCGACTTTCATTTATTACACATAATAAACTTCATCCTAGTGGCCAAAGTCAGTAAAAGTTGCTGTTTCTTGAAACCTGGCTGATTTTTTTAGGTGTTTATTATTTGCAGAGTTTATAGGGGCACTTTGGGCGATTTTTGTTTATGGTAGCAGTATTTGCATATTTTTTAGTCTTTTTTAGGCAATTCAGGGCATTGTACTCGAAAACACCTATAAAAAATCATCCACCGTCCCTAGATATATTATTTCCCGGAACTGGCATGAATAAAAATACGGAATTTTGTTAATCTAGGTCAGGTAAGAAACTTACTAAGTAATATAACTTGATACAATTAGGTACAATGAGTGTAACAATGAGTCAACAAACTTCGAGGCTATACAGAATTCTCAAAAATTATGGGGTAAGCCATCAACATTTTTTTCTAAAATGCTTCTTGGTGTGAAGTTCAGAAATAATATAATTTCTACTTCCTTGACTTTTAAAAGATGTTGTTAATAAAAAATTTACTTATCTCATATTTATATACCGCATAAAAAATTGATGACTTACCCCCATTAATTTGGTGAATTGCGTACAGTCTCGAAGTCTATTGGTTCATTTTTGCTAAATTTCTGCTATGGTTTAATTACAGTTAATAATTTTTACCGTACATTTTTAGTTTTATATTTTTAGTTTTTCACAATTTTATGACTATTCAACCAAAACATTCAAAGATATATTCGAATATTGCCAAAAATATATTTATAACGTTGTATTACAACTTGTTCTTTCTTTTTGGAATAAAGAGTTTCAGTTTCCCAATATACTCTGTACATTACTGAAGAAAATGGGGTTCAGTTATAAAACTAATCTTATCAGCAAATGAGTCTATCTCGGTCAGTACCATCATCCTTGCGATTTTGTTACAGATAGGATAGGATAACTTGATTACTTACTAGGAAAAACTAACATCAAAAGTCAACCAAATCAGTGCAAATGTCGAAATAAAAGTTGCTTCTACTTGACCTGGCATCGATTTATTTATTATATGACTAACCCCATCATAGGTTAGTTTTCAGGTCAGTGAGCAGACACATGGGAAAATTATACGTATGACCTTACAATAATAAAATTGAGCATTATGTTTCCTTCATAGTTTGTTATTCAGATCTTAATGAAAGACAATGCAGATATTTTTTATTTTTTATTCTTAAAAATATTTCAATTTGGTCTGATTAATTTCTAGGATTTTCAATATAAATGACAAAACAGAATAGAAATTTAAACAATGAAAAATAGTTCTATAAACGTGATACCAAAAATGTATGGTAAAGGAGACAGGTACAGAGTGTTTTAAATTCACAAGTAAATTTAATAAAAAATTGAATTATAATAAAAATTTTTGAGGTATGCTTTCATATCGAATTGAATTACCTAAATTTTGTATTCAATAGTTTTGTGTGAGTGCTATATAATTTTACATTATTCTATTGTGAATTAGATTGCATTTAATATCACGGTTTGCATGAATACTGAAATGAAATACATTAAAAGCTTATTTTCTGTGCAATGAAAGTGCACTTGCGGCGAAAATATTTTATAGCCCATAATGCAAAGGGGATAATAAATATCCCAAATTAACCTGTTTTATGCTGTTAGGGCTGGTAAGTTTACAAACACTGTAAAAAAAAAAACAAAAATTTTATAGAAGTATGGCAAAAGTTGTACAAATTTGGTTTTTGTTGTTTTTTTGCATTATGTAAGGTGCTCCCTCTCTCATAAAAACTCAATATTTACGTGCATAGAAACGTGAGGTCATAAATATGTTTATGATAATTTGAAATATTAAATTGTGTGATGTGTAACGTATTGCCTAGAAAAATGTTTCACGGAATTTATAAAAAAAATTTTTATTCCACATTTTTCCGCAAAAAAATCATGATCTACATACTTGTTCTACACAAGAAACTGTACCGTTGTTTAAAATATATATATATACACATTTAAGATTCGCCCTGTGCAGTTCCAAATCTGCTTTATCACGTTAACAAGTTTTCTTAGTGTAGAATGATAATTAAAAAAGTATACTGTTATTTATGTACAATTTAGAGCGATATTTAAAAACATCCGGTTATTAACCCTTAGCAGGCCGGTGAATGCGGAGAACATGGTTCTCTGAAATCGCTTTTGGTCTGTATTCTTTGCTAGACACCAACTCGTTTTGTGACAAATCCGATTTGAGGAACAACTGGTGTAGAAAAGTTGAATTTTATACAATTCCTGAAATGCCTTAAAACTTTTAATGGAAAGGATTAAGAGACAAAACGGAAGTTCCCCAATCCCCGTCGGGAGTTATTTTTGTTAGGACTTGCGAAATGTGGGGAAGTTCGGATGTATTATCAGCGGTTGGCAGGTAATTTCCGGTTTAAGAAGTGTGTCCAAGAAAACAACGGTTTATTATATAATTATCTGTCTGTAAAAATGTATTCCTTGGGGCTATTTTGTGTACCATGCTATTTAAAAGATTTGGCTATCGTTCACATTAAATATATTTCGAATTTTGAAAAAAAAAGACAATAAAGCATTATTGATTTTAGGAAGCATAGAAATATGTTTTAAATTTTGGCAAGTTTCTCATACTAAACCATTGTTGGTTGCTAACAGTTTTTTACTTATTGATGTTATTAGGAGTGAGAATTATATATTACAATATTTTAAATTTTAAATTTTAGGTTTAAGAATGCAATAAAGGATGTCCGGAAACTACAAGTAAAAAAATTAAGGAGCGATTTTACTCATTAAAATAATGTTAAAAATTTCTATTACGCTTTTTAGAAAAACTAATATCAGTTAATTTTTTTTTGTGTTAATATTTTGTCATTACTTTTTGTTCAGTTAAGAGATTATTTGGGAAAGATTTAGTTAGTTCCATGGTTTTATCAATCTCGTTATGATGTCTTTAAATAGGCAAGTCAATATAGGTTTTTTGTGTGACAAAAATACTAACAGCACACCACCTGTACCATCATTTAAAGGACAGTCCGTAGCATAGATATACTCTGATGTATTTTCGACTCGCAATTCTCATTAATTAATTTGTTATTGACATTTTAGTGCAAAAATGCGTTTTTTTTAGTTTTTTGCTTATAAAACCAAAACTACTAGAGCAATGTCAATTCCGTAAATGGAAAAGCTGTAAGAAATTAAATTTCGAAGAAAATGAGAGGTCGAGCGGTTCGATCGGTTGATTAGAACCGGAGAAAATCCGGAAAAATCGGAAAATTCGTAATTTAAAAAAATCATAACTTTGTCATTTATGAAGATTAAGAGCTGAAATTTGGCAGAAAAGTAGATAATTATATCTTTAAGTGTGCAAAAGGCAGGCGCTATCGGACAATTAGTTTTTGCGCAATTGTAATTTCAAATGTTTTATGCATTTTTTTTGCCAGCAGTCTGCGTTAAAAATGGTCCAATTTTATTTCTAATATCGGTTTTCATAACTAGAAGTAAAATACTATAAAAAGAGCGCGCGTGTAGTGGGGGAAGGAGGGAAAACGCATTTCGCTGCATTTTAATGAAAACTTGAAATATACGTTCAATAGTATTTTACTTCTAGATTTGAAAACCGGTATTAGAATTAAAATCGGACCATTTTTAACGCAAGAAGAGTCCTGGCAAAAAATGCATAAAAAATTTGAAACTGCAATTGCGCAAAAACTAATGGTCCGACAGCGCCTGCCTTTTGCAGACCTAAAGTTGATATAATTATCTACTTCTGTGCCAAATTTCAGCTCTTAATTTTCATAAATGACAAAATTATGATTTTTTTTAAATTATGCCGAATTTTACAGTTTTTCCGGATTTTCTCCGGTTCTAATCAAGCGATAGAATCGCTCGGGCTCTCATTTTTTTCGAAATTTAATTTCTTACGACTTTTCCATTTACGGAATTGAGATTGCTTTAGTAGTTTTGGTTTTATAAGCAAAAAACTAAAAAAAACCTTGTTTTTTGAATTAAAATGTTAATAATTAATTAATGAAAGTTGCGAGTCGAAAATACATCAGAGTATATCGACGGCCTGTCTTTTAAATGACGGCGCAGGTGGTATGCTGTTAGTATTTTTATCAAGACATGCCTTTTTTTATCTATTGACTGGCTTAAAACTGTTTTGATTAAATAAATTTTATAGAAATTTTATTGATATGAGCATTACACATTACGTGTTTTGTTCCTATCTTCAATTTCTTTTTGAACAACAATTTGAACATCTTTGAAATTTCGAAAAAATGCTACTTAAAAAATTTGCTTACTGCTTAGTTGTAGTTTTAAAAGGAAAACTTTAATTCACAAAACACCACGTATAACTTTATTGTAGGAGAGGTGCTACTATAACCACTAATTTATTTAAAAAAAAAAAACTCATTACATTTTCACTTCCTATTTACAATCACATGACCAAGATCGTACTTTCCCCTGACACACTTAATTTTTACACCAGGACAATCGGGCACCCTTCCCACCCTGCAGAGGACAATATTGTGTTCCTGAAACGAAGTCACAGAATCAGTCAGAGAAACGCCAACTTGTTGGAATAATGCAAAATTCGTAGCGGTTTTTTAATTCAAAATGTATTTCGTTTAAACAACAATAAATTAATAAACTTTTAATAAACAAAATACATCCCAATGATGTGACTGTTTCTCGAAACGCGACGTCTTCATTAAAGGAGATTCCTTGAAGATTGTTCGACAGAGAGGAGTATGTGACGAGAACAGGGCTGATATAGATTAAGCTTCCAAATAGGCTCTCGAATACCAGCTTTTGTGATGTCAGCAGAATGAAGTCGATGTTGTAAGGATGCAAAATTACTCGATGATGTTTTCCCGGTCTTTTTTCTTGAATTGCGGCCTCACCATGACGAAGCTGTTTTCAATAATCCTCGGCAGGACACCTTCTTTGTCCCACCAGAAGTACAATTAATTTATGTGAATGGTGTTCTCATCAGTAACAATCTAAGACGAATTCGGTCCATGTTGTTGGTGAGCTAAGTGACATCAAGGTACAAATGTTGACACAGCGATTTTTGTGGTTTCGCTCAAATCATGAAGCAACCACACACTCAACCTTGGTACTTTGCTCATGAAACGCAAATCACGTACTATGGTCGATTGGTCGCAATCCATTATACTGGCCAATGTCTACATTGATTGACATGGATCATCATGATATTCATCAGTCAGGTGTCGTGTCAAAATGGTACTCTTTAAAACTGGAAAACCATTTTCGTGTTGCCCCAATGACGTTCTCTCCATAAACGGTAATAGTGCTAGCAGCATCGATGCCTCAATATCTTCTATGGAATTCAAACAAACGAATATGTCGAAAATGCCTGTTTCCACTTGGCACTCAATTTTCTTTTGCAAATAATATACCCAATCTCTGTACAAAATTTACCTACAAGCTTGAAGATTATTCAGTTAAATAAGAGCGTCATTAAAATTATTTTGACATATGCCCAACAATTAATTTCCAACCCATTATTTTCATGGAAACCAAAAACGCTACGAACTTATACATCATCCCAATATTGAGTTAAAAAAACTTCCCGTGTCAGCTAAGCTTTCTGGGTCAGATTTGATGTTAGATTTCGGTTATAAAATCAAGTGGAATTGGGTTTTAGTTCATTTAAATGATTAAGAGCTAAGCTAGGCCAAGCTACATTGTAAATCACACTTAAAACATTTTGTTTTAAATTTAAGTCAGCTAAAATATTCACTTCTTGTAAAATCTAGGCTAGTATAATTAATAAAATTACGGATTTTTGCACTTTTGCCCGATAAATCCTATTTTCTTATGATGATTTTATAATATTATACCTGTAGATTGTGGCCTATGCCTGGTATATACGCGACCATTTCTTTGCCGTTGGACAGTTTAACTAGAACACACTTTCTATTGGCCGAATTGGGTTTTTTCGGTTTCTTGATCAAAGTCTTTAGCACTACGCCCTTCATGAACGGTTTCCCGTCAAGGGGCTGGCGTTTTTTCTTCTTCTTGATGTGTGGCCCACGCCTGTGCATCTGAAGCAACGACACCGGTCTTTCTGTAACAGAAAAAAAGAGTAACAAATAGAAATTCGGTTTTTTAAGGCTGAAAACGTATTTATTTTAAAATCCTTTTAAACAAAACATGTTTTGAAATTTCAAAAACAGAACTATGTACATGTTTTGTACTTTTGTTTTGTTAATAAAAATAATGTGCACAGTTTCATTATTATTACTTTAAACCATTTTTTAAATTAAATTATTTTTTATTATTTTGACTATTTTTTATTATTAATTTTGCTTTGTTTTTATTACAAATTTAGTTAAATTTCTCTAAAATTTGACACAGAAATAATGTTTTTCTGTTCTATCTATATATAACCCACACCCATAAATTTTTAAAACCGAGATTTTCATGTAGGTACTAAATACAATTTTTTTATTTAATCAAGTTGTATACCTATATAAACTGTGTGATCGTATTTCTAAAAGAAATTATATCAACACATGCTGCTATCGAATCTTGTGAGCGTATGAAAAAGTTTTCACATTTTTTTTACTACGATGATACAATCAAAACTTTGACACTTATACTTTTCTATTATCTTTTTTTGAAGCTAAGCTGTCCGTGAAAATGGCGACAGTTGAAAACTTCAGATTCATTTCCTGTTTTCTCACTGTGGATATTTTGAAGCGAGGAAGCGGATATTTAGTAGTAATGAGAATTCTTTTGCATGTCCGGATATTCCGTTATTTGCCTCATATCCCTCAAGACTAGCATATTTTACCAAGCATAAATTCTGTATAGAATTGGGACGAAATTAGAATACTTACCTTGGAAATTATAGTTTAACAAATAATGTTTATTGATTATATTAAATTTGACAGAAAATCGAATAGTTTAAAAAATATTATACTTAAAAATGTGTTTATATCTATAACGTAGATTTTGTTTGGAATCAAAATTACCCATTTTCGAATCTATTGGTGAAACTCTCCACAGAGCCACAAATCGCTTTAAACTTTAGACATCCCAAGCCATAGCAGACGACATGACATCAGGAGAGCCCCATGCTGTTGGTAGAACGATCGCCAATGACCCTCACGGGATGACCAAAATTTCACCTCAGTTTCGAATTTTTCCTGGCAAAAAACGCCAGGAATGCCATGAAATTCAAACTGTAACACGCCTTACATAAATCTGAAATAACAGCCAGATTCAACGGCGGGGCAAGTCAACATGAATCGGTCAAATCCTGAGGGGCCACATGTCGGAACCATACCGAAAAGCAGTCCGCCAGAATTAGCGGGAGTCGACATGCAGTGCGATGGAACGTCAACTCTGATATCTTGCAATTTTTTTACCAGATCTGAAATCTCTGACCAGTGTTTGTATATGACCTGAATTTAAACGTATGGGAATTCCAAATTTTACCATATTGTTGCATTGTATATCACCTCTTGTGATATAATATTTTGTAAAATTTGCAACACATCGTTTATTGCTAAAATAAATGGTATATTGTTGTGCGCACATAGATTTGCAGGGCCTACTGGTTATTAGGATTTCAGCGTAAAATAGAGTTGGAAATACAAATACACGACATTGGGTTAAAAGATACAGGATACCGTTTTCTCCGCGTAAACATGTTACCCATGACATGACGGCCATTGCTTGTCAAGTGGAAACATATGCCCTGAACTCAACCGTAACTGAGCTAGGGTAATTCTAAATTTAAATAAATCAGGTATATTTAAATAAAAATCAGGTAAAAATAAGTTGTTTCTTTGTTTTATTGCGAGAATTGTTCAAAATGTCCACCCAATTCCTATATACATGTTTGAGCTCTTCTCAAAACAGAAGTGGCTCTGGTAGTTTCAGGAATAGCACGAATATTTTCTACAGCACCCATAATCCTAGCAATAAGTTGTTCTTTTTCAGAATTTTCTATATAAACAAGATTATTCGGTCTTCTGAGAAATAATTTAGGAGATTTAAATCGGATGAATTTGTTGGCCAATCAACAGAAACACTTCCAGTGAGTTTCCCTTTTCTCGTGGATTTTCAAGTGCCCAATAATGTGAATGTATCTATTTATCTATACATCCATGTTGTTACTATAAACCACCAAATAGCCTGCAAACACTTTCTAATAATCTCTCTTGATGAAACCTTCACCTTGAAATTTTGATACTGACTATTTCTACAGTAGCGATAACCTCAAAGACAAATTCTTACATTAATTAACGGATATGCGAATAACTTTTGTCTGCTCTTACCCGAATACAGTTTTCGGGAAAACTCTGAAATTCCTTCATGTTTATTCAGCTTGTCGCCCACTAGATATCTGCATATTTTTCAATAAAAAGGGAATTATAACTCAAAATATTTTTCGCATACATTACCCAAGATTAAAATAATTTCTTTGCCGAATAATATTATTCGGGATTCGGGTTCAAATGAATTTGTCCTGAAAAAACTTTGCCCGTGTCGTGGCCAACCCACGGACTAGTTAAATAATTTCGACGCCGAAATGTGAAAATCAGGTTGGGGATTTTACAGCCAGTTGGGAGTTACGGCGTAATTATATAGGACCGAGTTGAAAAGGACATAACCCTAAGGATTACAAAAAAAAGTCCTCTAAAATGGTCGATAATTTGTTTATAGAAATAATTCATTTTATTTTAATATATTATAATAGCATTTGTATTGGCAAGTAAAGTGGTTCTCGTATCCTGAATTGTATACAGGTTGTTCCACTTTTGCTAGCCAGACGTCAACTTTAATTTTTTAATGTGTTTGTTACATTTATTATACAGGGTGATTCACAAACGCTGACCAAAAATGAAACCTCGTATCCTTTGATGAATTTTAAGGGGAGTCTTTCGTACAAAGTTTTTATCTAGGATACTTCGTTAAAAAGATACAGGGTGTTAAAATTTAGAAAATATTTTTAAATTTTTTAAATAATTTAAAAACTAGTAAGTGAAATCATTTGAAATTGTCTCATGCAACTATTTATGTAAACGTTCAAAATCTGAGGCCTTTCCCTAAAATTTAGATGTTCCAGTGGCGGAGATACAGGGTATCGGTGGCATATTTTTTTAAATAAAATAGTACGCCACTGCCGAGGCCACTGCTTTACGGTAACAATCATGATCCGATTTGTTGAAAATGGGTGGGTTTAGAGATAGTAAGAAGGTATACCTTTTTTTAAATAGAAAAGTTGGGGGAAATGTTTTTCCAACCAAAAGTGAAATACACCGTGGCACAAAAAAATGTTGGCAGTTTAAATGCGTCCTAATGGTCGTTTGTGGCGCCCTCTAGAAGATACAATGAAATCGTCGTTGATAAATTCGAAGTTCTCATCTCAAAAAACCCCCAGATATGAAATTTCACGAAATTAGCTCAGAACAGTCGAAAGATATTAAAGAAATTGTTATTTATTTTTTCAACTTTGACATCCTGTAGATCCGTTATTATCAATTTTTGAACTAATAGGCTATTGATTATAGGATTTTAAAAGGAACTAAGACGTTCAAGATATTTTATTACATGAATCGTTCAAATGGTCATTTTAGATGAAAAAACCGTGGAGTGCTATTAAATTAGAGAGTGGAAATTGGAGATAGGGGTGAAAATGCACCCCTTTTAGTTTTTTAATTGTAGCTCGAAAACGAAGCAAAATTTCGCTATAGTTCATAGGAAAAATTATTTAGAGAATTGAATTTTCCATTGAAATGGCTTATTTAAAAAATTTAAAAGGAAAATTTTATGCAAAAAATCGTTGAAAGATAATTTGAAAAAAGCAAAAATTTTTTTTTTACTTTTTTTACTTCATAAAAAAAGTAGATAATATTTCATTCAAAAAAGACTACAGAATTTTTAGATGTGAATTGACTGAGATATGGCCGCTCAAACTTACAATTAGCCAGTTTTAGATTTTCGTCGTATTTACCCTTATACGTTTTTATTCTCGGTTCAAGGATTTTCATCACGTGACTTGTTCGAAGGGTAACTAAAAATAAAAAAACCGCGGAGTGCTATTAAATTAGTCTTGCAATTGAAGATAGGGGTAAAAATGCACTTTTGTAGTTTTTTAAATATAGCACCAAAATGAAGCAAAATTTCGGTATAGTTCATTGGAAAAATTTTGTAGAGAATTGAATTTCCCATCGAAATGGCTTATTTAAAAAATTTAAATGAAAAATTGTATGCACAAAATCGTTAATAAACAATTTTTAAAAAAGCAAAAAAATAAGATTTTTTGATTTTTTTTTTACCTTTTTTGACTCTAATTTATGTTAAACACGACGAAAATCTAAAAAATATTTAAGTTTGACCGGTCATAACAGTTAATATTAGTCAAAAAACTTTTTGAAAACGCGTCATTTTGTAGGGAATCTCATCTATTTTTTTTTACAGCAATTTTCTTTGCCTACTTCTACTAAAAAAATCTTTTTTTTTGCCTTTTGCAAAATTGTTTATTAACGATTTTCTGCACAAAATTTTTGTTTTAAATTTTTTAAATAATCCATTTCGATGGAAAAATTCAATTCTCTTCAAAATTTTTCCTATGAACTATACCCAAATTTTGCTTCGTTTTCGTGCTATATTTAAAAAACTGCAAACGTGAATTTTCACCCCTATCTCCAATTTCCACCCCCTAATTTAATAGCACTCCGCAGTTTTTTCATCTAAAATTACCCTTTGAACGATTCATGCAATAAAATTGCTTGAACTTCATAGTTCCTTTTAACGCTGTTTTTTTGGATATCATCAATAGCCTATAATATAAGGCGAGTTTAGTTAAATCGACTTATTGTAGACTCTTAAGAGACACCCATATAATAGGTATATATAGTGATGTAACGAATATCCGCATTCGCATTCGCGAATATTCGATTGATTTATGACATTCGCATTCGCAAATATCTTTGAATATTTTGCGGATATGAACGTGAAAGAAAAATACAGAATGTGAAAACAATATTAGGTAAATTAAACAAAAAAGTATTCATTTCTTTTCTTTTTAATTACAAAACTTACTTAAAACAATTATATCTTTCATAATCAAGAAGTTGATTTACTCATGTTAAGAAATAACTAACAANTAAAAAAAATTTTTATTCCACATTTTTCCGCAAAAAAATCATGATCTACATACTTGTTCTACACAAGAAACTGTACCGTTGTTTAAAATATATATATATACACATTTAAGATTCGCCCTGTGCAGTTCCAAATCTGCTTTATCACGTTAACAAGTTTTCTTAGTGTAGAATGATAATTAAAAAAAGTATACTGTTATTTATGTACAATTTAGAGCGATATTTAAAAACATCCGGTTATTAACCCTTAGCAGGCCGGTGAATGCGGAGAACATGGTTCTCTGAAATCGCTTTTGGTCTGTATTCTTTGCTAGACACCAACTGGTTTTGTGACAAATCCGATTTGAGGAACAACTGGTGTAGAAAAGTTGAATTTTATACAATTCCTGAAATGCCTTAAAACTTTTAATGGAAAGGATTAAGAGACAAAACGGAAGTTCCCCAATCCCCGTCGGGAGTTATTTTTGTTAGGACTTGCGAAAAGTGGGGAAGTTCGGATGTATTATCAGCGGTTGGCAGGTAATTTCCGGTTTAAGAAGTGTGTCCAAGAAAACAACGGTTTATTATATAATTATCTGTCTGTAAAAATGTATTCCTTGGGGCTATTTTGTGTACCATGCTATTTAAAAGATTTGGCTATCGTTCACATTAAATATATTTCGAATTTTGAAAAAAAAAGACAATAAAGCATTATTGATTTTAGGAAGCATAGAAAAATGTTTTAAATTTTGGCAAGTTTCTCATACTAAACCATTGTTGGTTGCTAACAGTTTTTTACTTATTGATGTTATTAGGAGTGAGAATTATATATTACAATATTTTAAATTTTAAATTTTAGGTTTAAGAATGCAATAAAGGATGTCCGGAAACTACAAGTAAAAAAATTAAGGAGCGATTTTACTCATTAAAATAATGTTAAAAATTTCTATTACGCTTTTTAGAAAAACTAATATCAGTTAATTTTTTTTTGTGTTAATATTTTGTCATTACTTTTTGTTCAGTTAAGAGATTATTTGGGAAAGATTTAGTTAGTTCCATGGTTTTATCAATCTCGTTATGATGTCTTTAAATAGGCAAGTCAATATAGGTTTTTTGTGTGACAAAAATACTAACAGCACACCACCTGTACCATCATTTAAAAGACAGTCCGTAGCATAGATATACTCTGATGTATTTTCGACTCGCAATTCTCATTAATTAATTTGTTATTGACATTTTAGTGCAAAAATGCGTTTTTTTTAGTTTTTTGCTTATAAAACCAAAACTACTAGAGCAATGTCAATTCCGTAAATGGAAAAGCTGTAAGAAATTAAATTTCGAAGAAAATGAGAGGTCGAGCGGTTCGATCGGTTGATTAGAACCGGAGAAAATCCGGAAAAATCGGAAAATTCGTAATTTAAAAAAATCATAACTTTGTCATTTATGAAGATTAAGAGCTGAAATTTGGCAGAAAAGTAGATAATTATATCTTTAAGTGTGCAAAAGGCAGGCGCTATCGGACAATTAGTTTTTGCGCAATTGTAATTTCAAATGTTTTATGCATTTTTTTTGCCAGCAGTCTGCGTTAAAAATGGTCCAATTTTATTTCTAATATCGGTTTTCATAACTAGAAGTAAAATACTATAAAAAGAGCGCGCGTGTAGTGGGGGAAGGAGGGAAAACGCATTTCGCTGCATTTTAATGAAAACTTGAAATATACGTTCAATAGTATTTTACTTCTAGATTTGAAAACCGGTATTAGAATTAAAATCGGACCATTTTTAACGCAAGCAGAGTCCTGGCAAAAAATGCATAAAAAATTTGAAACTGCAATTGCGCAAAAACTAATGGTCCGACAGCGCCTGCCTTTCGCAGACCTAAAGTTGATATAATTATCTACTTCTGTGCCAAATTTCAGCTCTTAATTTTCATAAATGAAAAAATTATGATTTTTTTTAAATTATGCCGAATTTTACAGTTTTTCCGGATTTTCTCCGGTTCTAATCAACCGATAGAATCGCTCGGGCTCTCATTTTTTTTCGAAATTTAATTTCCTACGACTTTTGACTACGGAATTGAGATTGCTTTAGTAGTTTTGGTTTTATAAGCAAAAAACTAAAAAAAGAACTGTTTTTTGAATTAAAATGTTAATAATTAATTAATGAAAGTTGCGAGTCGAAAATACATCAGAGTATATCGACGGCCTGTCTTTTAAATGACGGCGCAGGTGGTATGCTGTTAGTATTTTTATCAAGATATGCCTTTTTTTATCTATTGACTGGCCTAAAACTGTTTTGATTAAATAAATTTTATAGAAATTTTATTGATATGAGCATTACACATTACGTGTTTTGTTCCTATCTTCAATTTCTTTTTGAACAACAATTTGAACATCTTTGAAATTTCGAAAAAATGCTACTTAAAAAATTTGCTTACTGCTTAGTTGTAGTTTTAAAAGGAAAACTTTAATTCACAAAACACCACGTATAACTTTATTGTAGGAGAGGTGCTACTATAACCACTAATTTATTTAAAAAAAAAAAACTCATTACATTTTCACTTCCTATTTACAATCACATGACCAAGATCGTACTTTCCCCTGACACACTTAATTTTTACACCAGGACAATCGGGCACCCTTCCCACCCTGCAGAGGACAATATTGTGTTCCTGAAACGAAGTCACAGAATCAGTCAGAGAAACGCCAACTTGTTGGAATAATGCAAAATTCGTAGCGGTTTTTTAATTCAAAATGTATTTCGTTTAAACAACAATAAATTAATAAACTTTTAATAAACAAAATACATCCCAATGATGTGACTGTTTCTCGAAACGCGACGTCTTCATTAAAGGAGATTCCTTGAAGATTGTTCGACAGAGAGGAGCATGTGACGAGAACAGGGCTGATATAGATTAAGCTTCCAAATAGGCTCTCGAATACCAGCTTTTGTGATGTCAGCAGAATGAAGTCGATGTTGTAAGGATGCAAAATTACTCGATGATGTTTTCCCGGTCTTTTTTCTTGAATTGCGGCCTCACCATGACGAAGCTGTTTTCAATAATCCTCGGCAGGACACCTTCTTTGTCCCACCAGAAGTACAATTAATTTATGTGAATGGTGTTCTCATCAGTAACAATCTAAGACGAATTCGGTCCATGTTGTTGGTGAGCTAAGTGACATCAAGGTACAAATGTTGACACAGCGATTTTTGTGGTTTCGCTCAAATCATGAGGCAACCACACACTCAACCTTGGTACTTTGCTCATGAAACGCAAATCACGTACTATGGTCGATTGGTCGCAATCCATTATACTGGCCAATGTCTACATTGATTGACATGGATCATCATGATATTCATCAGTCAGGTGTCGTGTCAAAATGGTACTCTTTAAAACTGGAAAACCATTTTCGTGTTGCCCCAATGACGTTCTCTCCATAAACGGTAATAGTGCTAGCAGCATCGATGCCTCAATATCTTCTATGGAATTCAAACAAACGAATATGTCGAAAATGCCTGTTTCCACTTGGCACTCAATTTTCTTTTGCAAATAATATACCCAATCTCTGTACAAAATTTACCTACAAGCTTGAAGATTATTCAGTTAAATAAGAGCGTCATTAAAATTATTTTGACATATGCCCAACAATTAATTTCCAACCCATTATTTTCATGGAAACCAAAAACGCTACGAATTTATACATCATCCCAATATTGAGTTAAAAAAACTTCCCGCGTCAGCTAAGCTTTCTGGGTCAGATTTGATGTTAGATTTCGGTTATAAAATCAAGTGGAATTGGGTTTTAGTTCATTTAAATGATTAAGAGCTAAGCTAGGCTACATTGTAAATCACACTTAAAACATTTTGTTGTAAAATTTAAGTCAGCTAAAATATTCACTTCTTGTAAAATCTAGGCTAGTAAAATTAATAAAATTACAGAATTTTGCATTTTGCACGATAAATCTTATTTTCTTATGATGATTTTATAATATTATACCTGTAGATTGTGGCCTATGCCTGGTATATACGCGACCATTTCTTTGCCGTTGGACAGTTTAACTAGAACACACTTTCTATTGGCCGAATTGGGTTTTTTCGGTTTCTTGATCAAAGTCTTTAGCACTACGCCCTTCATGAACGGTTTCCCGTCAAGGGGCTGGCGTTTTTTCTTCTTCTTGATGTGTGGCCCACGCCTGTGCATCTGAAGCAACGACACCGGTCTTTCTGTAACAGAAAAAAAGAGTAACAAATAGAAATTCGGTTTTTTAAGGCTGAAAACGTATTTATTTTAAAATCCTTTTAAACAAAACATGTTTTGAAATTTCAAAAACAGAACTATGTACATGTTTTGTACTTTTGTTTTGTTAATAAAAATAATGTGCACAGTTTCATTATTATTACTTTAAACCATTTTTTAAATTAAATTATTTTTTATTATTTTGACTATTTTTTATTATTAATTTTGCTTTGTTTTTATTACAAATTTAGTTAAATTTCTCTAAAATTTGACACAGAAATAATGTTTTTCTGTTCTATCTATATATAACCCACACCCATAAATTTTTAAAACCGAGATTTTCATGTAGGTACTAAATACAATTTTTTTATTTAATCAAGTTGTATACCTATATAAACTGTGTGATCGTATTTCTAAAAGAAATTATATCAACACATGCTGCTATCGAATCTTGTGAGCGTATGAAAAAGTTTTCACATTTTTTTTACTACGATGATACAATCAAAACTTTGACACTTATACTTTTCTATTATCTTTTTTTGAAGCTAAGCTGTCCGTGAAAATGGCGACAGTTGAAAACTTCAGATTCATTTCCTGTTTTCTCACTGTGGATATTTTGAAGCGAGGAAGCGGATATTTAGTAGTAATGAGAATTCTTTTGCATGTCCGGATATTCCGTTATTTGCCTCATATCCCTCAAGACTAGCATATTTTACCAAGCATAAATTCTGTATAGAATTGGGACGAAATTAGAATACTTACCTTGGAAATTATAGTTTAACAAATAATGTTTATTGATTATATTAAATTTGACAGAAAATCGAATAGTTTAAAAAATATTATACTTAAAAATGTGTTTATATCTATAACGTAGATTTTGTTTGGAATCAAAATTACCCATTTTCGAATCTATTGGTGAAACTCTCCACAGAGCCACAAATCGCTTTAAACTTTAGACATCCCAAGCCATAGCAGACGACATGACATCAGGAGAGCCCCATGCTGTTGGTAGAACGATCGCCAATGACCCTCACGGGATGACCAAAATTTCACCTCAGTTTCGAATTTTTCCTGGCAAAAAACGCCAGGAATGCCATGAAATTCAAACTGTAACACGCCTTACATAAATCTGAAATAACAGCCAGATTCAACGGCGGGGCAAGTCAACATGAATCGGTCAAATCCTGAGGGGCCACATGTCGGAACCATACCGAAAAGCAGTCCGCCAGAATTAGCGGGAGTCGACATGCAGTGCGATGGAACGTCAACTCTGATATCTTGCAATTTTTTTACCAGATCTGAAATCTCTGACCAGTGTTTGTATATGACCTGAATTTAAACGTATGGGAATTCCAAATTTTACCATATTGTTGCATTGTATATCACCTCTTGTGATATAATATTTTGTAAAATTTGCAACACATCGTTTATTGCTAAAATAAATGGTATATTGTTGTGCGCACATAGATTTGCAGGGCCTACTGGTTATTAGGATTTCAGCGTAAAATAGAGTTGGAAATACAAATACACGACATTGGGTTAAAAGATACAGGATACCGTTTTCTCCGCGTAAACATGTTACCCATGACATGACGGCCATTGCTTGTCAAGTGGAAACATATGCCCTGAACTCAACCGTAACTGAGCTAGGGTAATTCTAAATTTAAATAAATCAGGTATATTTAAATAAAAATCAGGTAAAAATAAGTTGTTTCTTTGTTTTATTGCGAGAATTGTTCAAAATGTCCACCCAATTCCTATATACATGTTTGAGCTCTTCTCAAAACAGAAGTGGCTCTGGTAGTTTCAGGAATAGCACGAATATTTTCTACAGCACCCATAATCCTAGCAATAAGTTGTTCTTTTTCAGAATTTTCTATATAAACAAGATTATTCGGTCTTCTGAGAAATAATTTAGGAGATTTAAATCGGATGAATTTGTTGGCCAATCAACAGAAACACTTCCAGTGAGTTTCCCTTTTCTCGTGGATTTTCAAGTGCCCAATAATGTGAATGTATCTATTTATCTATACATCCATGTTGTTACTATAAACCACCAAATAGCCTGCAAACACTTTCTAATAATCTCTCTTGATGAAACCTTCACCTTGAAATTTTGATACTGACTATTTCTACAGTAGCGATAACCTCAAAGACAAATTCTTACATTAATTAACGGATATGCGAATAACTTTTGTCTGCTCTTACCCGAATACAGTTTTCGGGAAAACTCTGAAATTCCTTCATGTTTATTCAGCTTGTCGCCCACTAGATATCTGCATATTTTTCAATAAAAAGGGAATTATAACTCAAAATATTTTTCGCATACATTACCCAAGATTAAAATAATTTCTTTGCCGAATAATATTATTCGGGATTCGGGTTCAAATGAATTTGTCCTGAAAAAACTTTGCCCGTGTCGTGGCCAACCCACGGACTAGTTAAATAATTTCGACGCCGAAATGTGAAAATCAGGTTGGGGATTTTACAGCCAGTTGGGAGTTACGGCGTAATTATATAGGACCGAGTTGAAAAGGACATAACCCTAAGGATTACAAAAAAAAGTCCTCTAAAATGGTCGATAATTTGTTTATAGAAATAATTCATTTTATTTTAATATATTATAATAGCATTTGTATTGGCAAGTAAAGTGGTTCTCGTATCCTGAATTGTATACAGGTTGTTCCACTTTTGCTAGCCAGACGTCAACTTTAATTTTTTAATGTGTTTGTTACATTTATTATACAGGGTGATTCACAAACGCTGACCAAAAATGAAACCTCGTATCCTTTGATGAATTTTAAGGGGAGTCTTTCGTACAAAGTTTTTATCTAGGATACTTCGTTAAAAAGATACAGGGTGTTAAAATTTAGAAAATATTTTTAAATTTTTTAAATAATTTAAAAACTAGTAAGTGAAATCATTTGAAATTGTCTCATGCAACTATTTATGTAAACGTTCAAAATCTGAGGCCTTTCCCTAAAATTTAGATGTTCCAGTGGCGGAGATACAGGGTATCGGTGGCATATTTTTTTAAATAAAATAGTACGCCACTGCCGAGGCCACTGCTTTACGGTAACAATCATGATCCGATTTGTTGAAAATGGGTGGGTTTAGAGATAGTAAGAAGGTATACCTTTTTTTAAATAGAAAAGTTGGGGGAAATGTTTTTCCAACCAAAAGTGAAATACACCGTGGCACAAAAAAATGTTGGCAGTTTAAATGCGTCCTAATGGTCGTTTGTGGCGCCCTCTAGAAGATACAATGAAATCGTCGTTGATAAATTCGAAGTTCTCATCTCAAAAAACCCCCAGATATGAAATTTCACGAAATTAGCTCAGAACAGTCGAAAGATATTAAAGAAATTGTTATTTATTTTTTCAACTTTGACATCCTGTAGATCCGTTATTATCAATTTTTGAACTAATAGGCTATTGATTATAGGATTTTAAAAGGAACTAAGACGTTCAAGATATTTTATTACATGAATCGTTCAAATGGTCATTTTAGATGAAAAAACCGTGGAGTGCTATTAAATTAGAGAGTGGAAATTGGAGATAGGGGTGAAAATGCACCCCTTTTAGTTTTTTAATTGTAGCTCGAAAACGAAGCAAAATTTCGCTATAGTTCATAGGAAAAATTATTTAGAGAATTGAATTTTCCATTGAAATGGCTTATTTAAAAAATTTAAAAGGAAAATTTTATGCAAAAAATCGTTGAAAGATAATTTGAAAAAAGCAAAAATTTTTTTTTTACTTTTTTTACTTCATAAAAAAAGTAGATAATATTTCATTCAAAAAAGACTACAGAATTTTTAGATGTGAATTGACTGAGATATGGCCGCTCAAACTTACAATTAGCCAGTTTTAGATTTTCGTCGTATTTACCCTTATACGTTTTTATTCTCGGTTCAAGGATTTTCATCACGTGACTTGTTCGAAGGGTAACTAAAAATAAAAAAACCGCGGAGTGCTATTAAATTAGTCTTGCAATTGAAGATAGGGGTAAAAATGCACTTTTGTAGTTTTTTAAATATAGCACCAAAATGAAGCAAAATTTCGGTATAGTTCATTGGAAAAATTTTGTAGAGAATTGAATTTCCCATCGAAATGGCTTATTTAAAAAATTTAAATGAAAAATTGTATGCACAAAATCGTTAATAAACAATTTTTAAAAAAGCAAAAAAATAAGATTTTTTGATTTTTTTTTTACCTTTTTTGACTCTAATTTATGTTAAACACGACGAAAATCTAAAAAATATTTAAGTTTGACCGGTCATAACAGTTAATATTAGTCAAAAAACTTTTTGAAAACGCGTCATTTTGTAGGGAATCTCATCTATTTTTTTTTACAGCAATTTTCTTTGCCTACTTCTACTAAAAAAATCTTTTTTTTTGCCTTTTGCAAAATTGTTTATTAACGATTTTCTGCACAAAATTTTTGTTTTAAATTTTTTAAATAATCCATTTCGATGGAAAAATTCAATTCTCTTCAAAATTTTTCCTATGAACTATACCCAAATTTTGCTTCGTTTTCGTGCTATATTTAAAAAACTGCAAACGTGAATTTTCACCCCTATCTCCAATTTCCACCCCCTAATTTAATAGCACTCCGCAGTTTTTTCATCTAAAATTACCCTTTGAACGATTCATGCAATAAAATTGCTTGAACTTCATAGTTCCTTTTAACGCTGTTTTTTTGGATATCATCAATAGCCTATAATATAAGGCGAGTTTAGTTAAATCGACTTATTGTAGACTCTTAAGAGACACCCATATAATAGGTATATATAGTGATGTAACGAATATCCGCATTCGCATTCGCGAATATTCGATTGATTTATGACATTCGCATTCGCAAATATCTTTGAATATTTTGCGGATATGAACGTGAAAGAAAAATACAGAATGTGAAAACAATATTAGGTAAATTAAACAAAAAAGTATTCATTTCTTTTCTTTTTAATTACAAAACTTACTTAAAACAA